GTTCGAATTGAGACTAGAGTGGCACTGATTTTAAGCTCTTAAATCCCGCATATGTGAAGTCCCCAACTTTTTCTTCCCCTTAAACATCTATAGAAGTGTCTTCTTTGTTTTCTGTAATCTAATGCCAAAAATTATTCTGAGAACTGTCCAATTTGCATTCCTTTGAAGTCAACTTTCTCAGTCTGGATTCTAGTAGATTTCCTTTTATAAATTGAAATAATTGCCAGGCTGTTTTTGATTTCTCCTGGTAAACAGTGAGCTCTTTTATTCTATTAATATATACATGGCTTTTCTTTTGTCTCAGAAAAGTTTTGTTTATTATTCCTCTTCCATCCATTTGGTTCCTTTCTTCCTAAACATTTTTATCCGCATGTTAGCTCTTGTTCCTGCATCTCCTTATCTTCCATCCTCTCTCTGCCCCTCCCTGCGTTGAGATTTTCAGGTTTATCCTCTGCATTGTTTCTCGACAGTGCTGGCTCTGCTCTTTGCCAATTTCTGTGCTGACAGATATCTTTTCAGCCTTATTATTTTTTTTTATTATCTAGCTTCTCTTATAAATAAAAGTTTTAATTTGAAACAGTCACAAAGGAACAGGAAAAGTTGGAAGAATAGCACAAAAACCTTTCCATGCCCCATTTGAAAGTAGATTGCCAACATGATGCCCCATGACCCAGAAGACTTTGGCGTGTGTTACCTACAAATGAGCACATTCTCCCACATAAAACAACCGATAAGGCCTTGGTCTGAGCTGGTACTTAAGGGCTGCCTTAGTCTGTTTGGGTTGCTATAACAAATTATCCTAGACTGGGTGGTTTATGCACAACAGAAATTTATTTCTCACAGTTCTGGAGGCTGTGAAGTCTAAGATCAAGGCATTGACAAAGTGGATGTCTGGTGAGGGCTTCCTTACTGGTTCGGACGGCTGTCCTTTTGCTGTGTCCTCACACGGGGGAAGTGTGAAATGAGCAAGGGCACTACTCCCATTCATGAGGGCTCCATTGTCACCACCTAATTACTTTCCAAAGACCCCAGCTCCTAATACCACAAGCCCACAGAGAACTTCCTACACATTTTTCTATGCAATTCCCCTGTGCCAAATGTGAGGAACCCTCCAGGTCCCTAACTTTGAACTCCTAGAAGAAAACAGACTGCCAATAAGGACAAACCCACCCTGAATTTTCATGCTCTTCCTACTTGGAATCACTATGCCTTCATTTTTGCACAAAAGCACAGTACTCTGTGTGAGGTCAGTCAAGGTTGTGGATTCCTTTGGAGAGGAAAACCCTCTAGAAGGAGCTAAGGGACAAGCTGGGGTGCAGGCAAATGGACAACCCAGCCAGTGAGGCACGTGACTGAGTGGACCTGGTGCCGAGGATCAGCCTCACATGCCTCTCCACCCTGGTAGTGTGGAAGAGGAGAAGAACTTACATTTACGGAACTCTGTGCAGGGAGCGCTCACATAGGCTAATACGTTTAATTCTCATCACTCTGGGGACACCTAGGCTCAGGAATGCTGTACAACTCACTCAAAGTCACACAACTGGCTCCTGGCCCAGGCTTGACTGGAGGGCCTGGCCCCTTCCACCCAGCCAGGCTTCCATACTGACCGGAGAAGGCTATGGCGAAGATGCCCCCCGTGGCTGCATCGCGATGGAACTTGAGCTGGACCTGGTTGGATGAGCTGTGCAACGTCTTCTTGGCCAAGCTCCGGGTGAAGACTCCGAGCCGTGGAGCCGTCTGCTGTGGCCCATCCCTGCATGTAGGAAAGAAGGTCCTGGCATGTCACCAGTCACCGTGGCTGCCTGTTCCATCTAGTGTCATCAGTGATCTTAAGAGAGACCTGGAGTGGGTGGCTGTGACTCTTCTTGCACCCAACACTTTTTCCCTGTGCTCTAAACACCTCTGTCCAACCTCCCCTGACTTGGTATCCCAACGCACTTGATAGAATCGGTGATTTGTCATTCATGGGATGCTTCACCAGCCAGTGGGCTGCTAGGGCAATGCAGTCACCATGGAGCAAGGCTGTGTGTCTCACTATGGGTCCTCTCAGCACCAGGATGGGGCTGCGGAACTGCTCTAGGAATCTCCTGCTGCTATCCACACTGGCCCCACTTCCTTGTCCCCCAGGCAAAAAGCTATATCACCGTACTGCCTTTTGGGGCAAAGGATTTCTTCCCTGGAACCTTTTCTAGTCCCTCCCATCTGTTTTTAGCCATTGCTTGGAAATCAAGCTAAAATTAACCCAGGGCAGTCTGGTTACAGATATCTGGTCCTGGGAATTTTGGAAGACAATCCCACTATCCTCTGACGATTCCCAGAATGGCAGTAACCTCCAAACAAAGGAATTGTAAAATTATATCCTTGTCCAAAGATCCGGTGGATTGGGAAAAAACTGTTCAGGAAACTGTACTTATCAAATAATAATTTGTATTCCCATTTTCAAACTTTTCAAACTAACTCAAGTTCCCCATTATACATAACTATATAACTCAGAGCTGAGGCATCTGATTCAGTAACCACTAACTAGCCACATGTGGCTATTTACATCTAAATTAATTATGATTAAATAAAATTTACAAGTCAGCTCCTTAGTCACTCTAGTCACACCAAGTGCTCCGTAGTCACATGCAGCTAGTGGCCACCATATTGCACAGCACAGCCATAGCACACTCCCATCATTGCAGAAAGTTCTGGGATAGCTCTTGCTCGGCATGAGATGACAAGCAAATTCCACCCCAAACCTTTTCCATTAGTCTGGGTAGCTTATCTCAGGTACAAGTAGAATGTTGGTTTGAACTCAGGAAATGCTGAGAAGTCTGTATGTCCACACCCACTCCCATTCACACACCCACTGGTACCTTCCCTGGCTTGAGCAGGATGCAGGCTGGGAGCCACTGCCCTCCTGCTCCTCTCCCTTTAAGGAATGATAATGGATAATTAAAGCTGAGCCTCATTCCACCACATTTGTTTAAAGCCCAGAAGGCTAACAGCCATTTAAAACCACTCAGCTCTTAGCTTTCCGATGGGTCACCCAGTTCAGAGCCCCTGGCACCCGGGCCTACCAGACGGTGATGAAGTCTCCGGAGGGCTCTGTCTGCAGTAGGCTGAGGTTGAGGCGGATGCCATGGCCAATGGGCACGGTGATCAGCCAGACACAGTCCTGGGAGCTGGAGTACGGGCTGGGGAACCCCGGGGAGTATACGGTGCCATTGGAAGAGGTGACGTTCCCGCCACAGGGGACTGCCAGGGAGGGAACACAGACACACAGATGAGTGCAGGGGCACATTCCCACCTGAGGATTTAGTGACTTCCTAACAAACTTCCCGTCCCCAGCACCAACCATCCTGTCAAGGAGGTCGGCCTGGCTGGGGATGGCTGTGCCTGGCGCTGCCCACCAGTCCCAACACACCACACCCGGGTGGGCCTGGTCCACCCACATCCGCCCTCTGTCTCTTTCTCTTGGGAGAGACCTGCCAAGAAGGAAGGTCACACTGAAGCTACCCCCTCTCTCTTCCCAGGAATGGGAAGGGGCAGAAGTTAGGGTTGAGGCTGCAGTGTTTTTGCCAGGAGGAGCTAAGAAACTAGGAAAATATCTTTCTTTCTCTTTGATTTGCTCTTTCCAGAGTGGTACTTTTGGTCTTGACTCAGAGTTGAGGGTTCTTTTGGTGAGGCTAAAGTTGGGTTCAAATCATGGCGAAACCATTTATTGACCAGATTCCCTTAGACAAGTAGTTGGCTCTCTCTCTGAGTCCCATTTCCTCACCTGTAAAAGGGAGCTAGGAAGCCCTCCCTTGCAGGAAGGTGGTGGTGTGGGGAAACGAGGAGCATGGAGTGTTCAGCCCAGGGCACTGCTCACAGAGGAAGAATTCGCCACACAGAGGGCATCCTCCCTCCTTATCCTCGGCTTCCCCAAGGGCAATACCCGATTTTAGACCCATTCTGACTTAGGATTCAGGCAGGGGGATGGAGAGGCCTTGAAGTCTCCGTGGTGTTCGGACTCAGTCACTGGGGAGGAGAATAAACAGGGGTGCTGAACAAAAAATCACCCCAAACACCCTGGTCCCGAATAGTGAGCGTGTTTGGCTGATGTGGGGCATCAGGCAGATGTCTGGATGGCGGCAGACCAGACTGAGGAGAGAGAATCCCAGCTGCCTCCCGGCAGAGGACGGGGTCCTGTGAATGCAAATGCATCTGGAAAGTGGTACACAGGGACTCACTATCCCCCAACATGGCCTGTGGGGCCAGAGGGAGAAGGACACTCTAGTTCTGTCCCATGGCACTCACACTGCTGGGACACAGCCAGATACTCCAGCATCTGTAGCGCAGGGTGGAGCATGCCATCATCATGAAAGGCCACGGGGACATTTTGGGGAGCCCCTCATTAGGTCTTGTGAGAGCAGGGAAGGATTCCTGCTAGAATTCACATTTGTACTCAGAGCTAAGGGACGGCTAGGCTAAGGAGGCAAGGTAGGAGAGGGGAATACCGTATGGGGAAGGAACGAGGAACAGCATGTGCTAAGAACCAGAGACAAGGAAGCACCACATGCTGGAAGACGGAAAGCACTTCAGCTTAGCTGGAGCACCGGGTGTGTGAGAATGGAGACCCTGGGAGGTAAGCAGGGACCAGGCTCAGAGCAACACACTGTGCTACTTTCAGAGTTTGGAATTTACCGCGAGGGAGACGGGGAAGCCTTGCTGGCTTCTGAGCAGGGAGTGTCGGGGCCTATGGGTGTTCCCAGGGCTCACGCTCACTGCATTGCAAAGGACCAATTGCGGAGCGTTAAGACGGAGGAAAGCTGGGCAGTGAGGAGTGAGGTTAGACCCGCGACGGGGCCCAGCTAAGTGGTGGCCTGGATCATTTGGAAGATAATTAGGATGTAGAAAGCAGGACTTGGTGAATATGGGAGGTAGGGAAAAAAGAGGGTGTCCGAATGAAGGGCTGAGTAACCAGTGACTGCAGGTGCCCACCGCTAGACGGCGATTTCAGTTTAATGGCAGAAAGACAATGAGTTCAACGTGAATATGTTGGGATCTAAACGCCTCTGGAATAAGAAGATATTTAGCAAGCTATCAGATATACAGGTGTGGATCTCAGTAAAGACACAAAGGTTGCAGATGAAAGTGGCATTTGGGAACATAGAAGTGGATGAGAGAAAGAAGAGAAGGGAGTCTAGGAAAAAACTCCAAAGAACAGCAACACTTAAGGGGCAGCCAGAGGAAGAGATGACGGAGAAAGGTGTCAGCACAGACAGAAAGGTAGTTGGCAAAGCTAGAGAATATGGCGTCAAAGATGCCAAGGGAAGAACGTTTCTCAGGAGGGAGAAGAGCTTCTGGCTCAAGACGGCAGACTGAGGAAGTATCGCCGTTTCTCCCATGAGGCCGTAAAAAGACAAACGAGGAGTGAGAAGGGAACAAGGGGGAAAAAGTCCACAATGAAGCTTGTCACATAGCACGTGATCAGCCAAAAATTCCAGAATGATCAACTGGTTATGCACAAGATAGCTCGGAAAATCTGAAAAACGAACTGAGGCTACAATAGTTTTAGAAATTACGGTCTTATATTCAAGCATCAGAACAGCTTGGTTTTGCAAACAAGGTCTCTTTTTCTACAGAGAGTTAATCTGTGAGCGAGTCATCTGTGGGAGCCCATCTCTTGAGAATCAGAGATGAGAAGTCCCATTTTGCTGTGGAAGAAACTGAAGCTCAGAGAGGCAGGGCAGTTAGGGATGGAGCCCGGGGTGATCTGTCCCCAGAGCTGGGACACTGTCCCCTGGGTGACTGTCCTTGCCAAATCTTCCCCTTTCAAGACCAATTCCTGCCTCTCCTTCAAGAAAATGCTGGGCTGTCAGGATGAAAATGGAAGGAAAATGGAACTGAAGTGTGCGGACAAGGGTTGGGGCAGCATAAGCTCTCTGCCATCTTCCATCCTCCTTCTGGCTAAGGAAGACCCAAGGAAGGGCCACCTCCAGCTCCTTGAGGCGAAGCAGTGGGGTGGAGGGTTCTTAGAAAAGAGGCTTCCTTTTCTCCTGCCTTCAGGAAGGTTCCATGACTACCTCTCCCTTTCTGCCCCTCAGCACACCGTTGGGCTCCTGCATCCTCGTGTGGAGCCTTCCCTTCCACTGGGGGCACCTAGACCATCAGGCTGGATCTCCCCCAGTGCTGGGTGTGTCTTCCCTTTGGTGTGGCCCACATTTCCTTCAGGTACTCCCAAAGCTCTGCCACCAGGACTCTGTCCCATATGAGAACAGGATGGACCCAGGTATGCCTGGACCTCTAGCATTGGTGGTTCCTTGGAGCAGGCAGGTGGAACGTGGGGCTGCTCCGGATCAGTCTCCAGGACCACCCCAAGAAGGATGACCAGGGATGAGGGAGGGACATACCTTCACACCTGGGCAGGGGGTGGTCCCAGTTCCGGTTGGTGCCATGTTGACAAGTGAGGACAGGGTGGCCAATCAGTTGATATCCTGGGAGGCACTCGAAGGTCACTGACTGTCCAACATTGTAGCCAGCTCCCCTCACAATGCCATTGGCAAAGGGCTCTGGGTCTGGGCACTCTTGAAGTTCGTAGGCTGGAAAAGATCAGGAAAAAAGGTTATTTTATTCTCTGTGGGTATTTTCTTCCCAACCAGAATACAGGAGTGGTGGACAGTTACCAGAGTGCTGAAGCACCAAGACCTAGACTCACACGGACCTTGGTCATTTACTAGTCCTTGGCTTTGGATAAGTTATTTAACTTATCTATGCCTCAGTTTTCTTATTTATAAAACGGTTAAGGTAAGGACTAAATAGGGTGATATGTGCACAGCTCTTTGCACAGTTCTGGCACATGGTGAGAGCTCAGTAATTACGTTATTATTAATAGTATTTCCTTGGGAAAAGAGGCTCAAGGAAGACATTGCTGGACTGAAACGCTGTTCACTGAGCAGCGCTTGGGGCTGGGCGTAGGCCCAGTTCCCTTCACGTTGCTTATCTCGCTGAACCTTCACAGCGAGGATTGAGGTCGGGGACAAAGGAAGCAGTGAAGGTTGGATTTGAGTGGGGTCTTTCCAACCAATTGGAAAGGAAGACTTCTGGTGGGAATAAGCCAAATCTGTGGCAAGGAGTGAAGCTTTTCACAGGGAATAGCCGGGCTAAAGGAATGCATGACTGTCACAAAGCAAGTCCCTGCAGAGAGCAGGGAAGCCACTTCCGCGAGAATGGGTGGGGCTGACTTGACAGCAGATGTCTCAGTGGAAGCAGCTGAGGCCCATCCATCGGGGAGAGGCCGCTGAGGGACTCCCTGAGCAAAGACTTCCATTAATTGGGTCCACAGGACACAGAACAGCCTTCGTGCCAGTCATGGGGCCCACTGCACACTGGCAATCAGCAGTGGGAAGAGACGGAATATTCTGACGGTGGAAATTCTTAGTGGAAGCAGTCGAGACCGAATGAATGCTCCGTGGAAGTGGATGCATTTATCATACATAATAACAATAAAAATAACAACGATCTTGAAGCTACCGTTTCCTAAGCACTCAGTCAATGATGGTGGCTGTGTTATGTGTTTCCATTCAGTATCATATAGGGAAGTCCCAGTGGGAGGAACAGGGCCGGTTTCCCTGGGAAATCATCTTGGTTACTGAGTGTGCGAAAGTCCTGAGCCGCCACGTGGGAGCGGGGGGCTGGTTAGCAGCAGGAGAGGCATGGATGGCCCTGGTGGCAGAGGGGGTCTGGGCGATTTGGCAATGAAAGTCTTAGGGGGAGCAGGGAGACTCGCTCAGGAGGCCACCAAGTGGGATGAGCTGGCCTTTAAGGAAGCCTCTGTGGGGACTGTGGAACCGAAGGTAGTGGGGATCCTGAGGGGAGTGGCCGCGTGTGGGCAGCCAGGGCAGCCTTGATGACAGCGGCTGGGCCTCTCTTACTGGAAGAGTCTTGAGGGGAAGGATCTTGGCTTTTCAAAGAGACAGAAACTCTCAGTGACAGAACCTCGATACTGAGAAAGATCTCAGAGCCTGTTCCCCTAGAAGAAGCCTCACAGGGAGAGGTCGGGTCTAGAGGGCGGAAATAGATCCTAAGAGGAGGAATCAGTATTAATACTTTCCTGAAGAAGGGGTCCTCAGGGAGAGCAGGCGGGTTTGTCCCCGGGGACGCGCTTTGCTACAGCGGGGATGCACTTCCAGAAAAAGCGTCATCATTAGATGGACGCAACTTCAAACGAAATGTCGTAACTTGAAACGTGAATAACGATGATGCCTAACAATTTGGAACAATACGTGTCTTAGTCACTTTGCTAGGTTCTTTATAAACACAACCCCCTTGAGACATTTTAATGGGATAAGTCAGACTGGGAGGCCTGGTAGGAGTAGCTTATGCTGTTACTAAACATTTTCTGGGAATATTTACCTGAAGAAGAGAAAAGAAAACCCTGGCATAGGAAGTGCAGTGTGCCTATTTGGAGGAATTTTGAGAAAGGGTAAAGACGGACTCCTACGGGAAGTTGAGACACCACAGAGAGCTGGGCTTGTTCTACAGAAATAGCCTCAGTGGGGACAAATGGCTCCTTTGTGAAGTGGGGCGTTTCCATAAAGGGAAAACCTGGGGAGAATGGTCACAGCTTGTTGACGAGGTACAACTCCACAGGACTGAGGAAGGTGTAAAAGGAGAATGTGGGCTTTTTGGTCAGGGAGAAGTATTCAGGCCTGTCACAGTCGGGAGACCACAGTGGGAGTACCTGGGCCCCAAACACTAGAGACAACCTAGTCCGAGAGGCTGGGATCAGCCCAAACAAGAAGGCTTAGTGGGTGTGGGGCTCAAGTCTGAGGGGAGCAGGTGACCTGACACCAGGCTCCACAGGAGTTGTGAGGACTGCGCCAGGGAGTGGCTGGGCCAGGGACTCGAGGGGGACATCGGAGGAGGGGGCCCTACAGAGAGGAAGCCTGCTGGATGCCGCTGGGCCTCTCACACGGAGTCTGGGCCCCAGGCCAGGGCTCCGTGGGAACAGTCAGTTCTCTGGGTGAGGGAGGGCGGGGGAGGGTGTCAATGGAGAGTCTGAGGCGGCCACAGAGGGACAAGCTTGACCAGGACGAGTGGGCCTATCACAGCGAGAGTGGCCAGTCTCATCAAACAGACGCCATGGGCTGTGCCTGACTAGGGGCAAAGGCACGGTGTGTGGGGAGGGCCCCAGGGCAGCTGCCCCATCACGATGACGGCACTGTCGATCCTTATACTTATCAGGGAGGAGAATCCTCGGGAGTGCACTTGGGCTTGTCAGAGGGTGTCATGGGCTGAACTGTGCCCCCTCCAAGTTCATGTGTTCAAGTCTTAACCCCCAGTACCTCAGAATGTGACCTTATTGGGAAATAGAATCTTTATTTTACCGAAATTAAAATGAGGCCATTAGGGTGGGCCCTCATCTAATATGACTCGTGTCTTTATAAATAGTGGAAATTTGGGGACAGACAGACACGCGGGGAGAATGCCCCGTGAAGACGAAGCCAGAGGTCAGAGTGACACTTTCACAAGCCAAGGAACTCCAGAGGTTGCCAGCAAACCACCAGAAGCCAGGGGAGAGGCCTGGAACAGATTCTCCTCACGGCTCTCAGGAGAAACTACCCCGACAGCACCTTGGTCTTGGACTTCCAGCCCCAGAGCCGTCAGACAATATACATATATTTTTGAAGCCACCCCCTTTGTGGTACTTTATTAGGGCAGCCCTAGCAAACTAAGACACAGGGGGAGCCCTGGTGCGAGGTGGTGAATGTGTCCCTGACAGGAGGACCGACCACATGGAACCAAGTCCCTTCCGTGACAGACCACGGCCTTCTGCCCGATGCGACAGGACCCGACTGACAAGCACGCACCTCCTGTGTGATAGGCACAGACGCTCTTGGGTGAGGCTGGCCTCTGTGACAAGCCCACACGTGGCTCCCCTGGGTGTGGCAACTTCATTACCGCTGTCTGGGTACGAGGCCCAGCTCCTCCTGAGGCTCCCCTTGAGGTGACAAGCCCGGCCACACCCACTGACATGTTCCCTGAGATAGACCCAAGAGCACTGTGAGGAAGAGTCCTCTGGAAAACGGGTCCGACTGCACCCACCCCATTTAAGGCTTTCCTTAAATGACAAACCTCACCCTTGCTCAGGATTCCCTTCTGACAACAGAGGAGTTCCATGCCCTGTTATTCCTGGCATGAAAAAGCCAAGTCTCAGAAAATTGCACATAGTATGGTGCTATTTATATAGAAAATATGGCCCCAAATTTTGTAAAACATTATAGATTTTTCACAGGTACATATAATATATGTATGTCAAGGCACAGGAAAAGGTCTGGAAAGGTCCCATCAAAACAACAGTGGTTATTTCTGAAGAATTATCATGGGTTTAGAGTCTGTAGACAAAGAAAGCTTTGACCTTACTTGTAATGTTTTAATTTTTTTTTTTTTAGAGATAGGATCCTACTCAAGGGATCCTCCTGCCCTAGCCTCCCAAGTAGCTGGGACTACAGGCGCACCACTGCACCTGGCTAATTTTTTTAAAAAATTGTTTTTGTAGAGACAGGGTCTCACTACGTTGCCCAGGCTGGTCTTGAACTCCTGGCCTCAAGTAGTCCTCCTGCCTCAGCCTCCCACAGTGCTAGAATTATAGGTGTGAGCTACCACGTCCAGCATGTTTTGATTTTTTTTTACAATTATGTGTTAATATTGGAAAAAAATCTAAAAATATAAAAAAAATGGAAGAATCTGGGAAAGGATTTAGAACCAGTGGTTCAGTAAGTCACAACAGGGAAGCATCTGAGGGAGAAAAGATGGCTCGCCATGTACAGCTGCACAGGTTGGGCACAATCTTCATACCCACAGGTGATGTTAGGGCCATCACACGGGGGAAGCCTGAGTTGGAGTGGATGGGGCTCTTTCCAGAGAAAGTGCTAGGCCGAGTGGGGCCTGTCACGGGATTCCACCTCGGGAAGGTACAGCCACAGTGAGTGTGGTTGGGCCTCACACAGGAAAACCCTGTCTCACAGTGCAAGGCTGAGGGGGCGCTGTTAGGACCGTAACTAGAATCCTCCATCCTGTCATAGGAAGAGCTTTGCTGAGAGTAATCAGGCCTGACGCACAGGGCAGGACCCAGAGGGAGTAATTCAGTCTATCAAGCCCGAGCGGAAGTGGCTGGCTGGACACTGGGGCATGCCTTACAAGGAACAGATGGGCCAGGTGCTCAGGGAAAGCTGTTGGCTGTCAGGTCTGCACAGAGGTGGAACCTCAGAGGGTGCGGTCAGGCCTGCCACTCTGGAAAAGGCTGTGGGAGAACGTTAGCTGTCACACGGGGTGAGATAGCCTCGCGGGCCAGAGACATCTGCCACAGAAAGGAAGCCTCTGTGGGCGGGCCTGCCGCCCACCCCACCCCTTCTGGCATCCTGTCTTCCCCACAGGGAAGGCGGGGAAGGTGGGCAGCTGGGGATAAGGGATGCGGATTGCGGGGGGCACTAACGCTTGTCCTTACCCTGATACTCCAGCTTGAATCCTGGCCGGTTCTGGGAGTGGTCGCTGTGGAAATACACGGTGGTCTCGTGGGACGTGGACAGCAGGGAGCCGGGGAGCTCGCTCCCACTGAATCTTCCCATCATGCGGCTGGTCTCGTAGGGCCCGTTCCGGATTTCTATGAAGTCATGGTTGGGCTCGGTGGAGAAGTTCAGGAACTGGATGTGAGCTCCTGGGAGCAAGACAGAGGCAGACAGTGCCCAAAGCAACGCAGTCCCGCTTCAAGGGTGGCGCCACCTGAAAGCATCTCCTGCCAGAGCCCACGAGTCCCTGCGGCTGGCTTCCCACCCAGTCACAGCTCCCAGAACACACCTTGGGAGTTGCTGGTCCAGCCAAGTCTCTTGCCTTCAGACAGGATTGAACTTAAGAGTATGTTACTAATTCAAAAGTAAAGGCATCAGTCATTTCAGAGCTCTATTGGAGTCCGTTTTATTTTAATAAAAACAAAGTTCAGGGTCAACACTTGTTTTAATTTGTGATTTATATGTCTAACATCAGTATAAAGAGAGTTTTGCTAAAATCAGCTTTTTGCTTTAAAATAACACCCTCCCTACTTTAATTCAAAGACATGACCTTCAATAAAGCTATTTTCTAGAAACCTTAAGATAATTCAGAAATGTAAGGCTTAGCAGCGTACATTATCCCACCTGTTCCATTAAGAGGCCACGTGAAGTTTACACTTTGGGCTCTTAGTGGATGAATAAAAATCTCCTAGCAACCCGACAGGTGAAATGAATCTAATTAAGCCATTAATGTACATATTAATATGCTCTTTGGAGAATGGAGGTGGGAACATGAATATACATTTACTGATAAGATTTTTCAAAATTCCATTACTATGGAAAATGTTATTGAAGAAATATATTTACTGAGCACAGGGAAATGCCCACAATGTATTGTTAATTGTGAAAATCAGAGAGCAAAATGGTATGCAGTATACAATTCTAATTTTTGTATTAAAAACATGGAAGAATATTCACTCATTTGCTAACAATATTTACTGAGCATCTGCCATGCAGCAGGGCTGTGGTAGACATCGCACGGGATGAACAGCATCAAGGAAGTCCTTGTCTTCATGAGAAGTACACTCTAACGACAGAGGACTAAGCTGTCAGTGATTATCTCTGCATGATGGGATTACAGGTGGGCCTTCATTTTAAAAATCTGCTCATCTGTACTTTCTAATTAGCTCAGAATGAGCACATATGTGCATGTTTTTGCATCTGGTTATTTAAAGAATACAATAAAGACGTGACATTTAGTGTTGAAGCCCCTTTGTCTCCTGCCCTGTTCCAATCCTCTCCTTCCTTCCACAGAAGCAGCCACTAATATGAATTTGGAAAATATCCTTCTAGTTCATGGTTTTAGATTCCTAAATATATCAGGGATTATGTGTCTTAAACATTTATATAAACGGTATTATACTGTACATACATTATTTTTCACACAATATTGTGTTTTTTGAGGTTTATGTTAATATACAAAAATATAGTTCATTCATTTTAACTACATGTTAATTAATTTCATCTTATGAATTATCTGATTGCACAACTCACTTCGCTAGTAATGAACATGCAGGTTGTTTCCAAATTCCAGATAATTTTGCAATGAGCAAGCATCGTCGTACATATAATCTATGGAGCCCGTGCTCCGTGTCCCCCGACCCGTGCATCGTCCCCTTACACGAGAACACTGTGGACTGCTTGCCCTTCAAAGGGGCTCTTCAAGGATTGCAGAATTTCTGAATGGAGCTGTGCGGAAAGAGCTGGACTGTGACCGACATCTAGTGGCAGAAGCATGTAGATGCGGTGGCTCTTTACACACTGAAACCAGGTGCCATTTTAGGGAGCGAGTTGTAATCCAACATTAACTTGAAAGCAAGGGATCTTGGCCTCTGCGACTGGACCCTGCAGAACACTTATTCCCCAAAGCCTGAATAAGTCCCCGCAACTTATAGATTGAGATCTCTGGGGCTGAACATAAGGACTTACGGAAAACAGTCATCTTATTTAAACTTCTGTTTGCCTTCGGATGTTTCCCTCTCCCCACCTTCTATCATCTCCGGTTCTTTTGCCCCAAGACTGGATGCGGAGACATTGGTCTCCCAGATCCTCTTTCCTCAGTGCCTCAAAATCTAGACTCTCCTAAGGCTGCCAAAGTTGTCATCGCTTTGCACCCACTTTCCTTCAGAAGACGGTACTGAATAGAAGACTCCATCCTTCAGAACGTCACCAACCTCTCTCCTTCCCTCCAACCAGATTTAGAAGGCCAGTTAGACTGCTTTCTCCCAGAAGCCCCCTCTCTAATCAGAAGACATACTCCAGGCTGAATAATAAAAGATGAAATGGGTGGCCTTCGTTTCTGAGGCTCACAGACTGGGCCCTCCCAGGCCTGTGCAGGAATAATCCCCTTGGGACATTTCTTTCCTAGAAGCAGAGCGACAACTTGTGCAAGATGCACATGTACAGCCCATCCATTCCACGTCAGCGCAAAGCCCTTATCACTTCAACATACATATTTTGGGTTAAATTATATTCCCAGTTTGTATCCACATCAATGTCCTCCACCCCCTGACAACCTCCATGCCTGGCACACTCCCCATCTCTGGGCCAGCTAGAATGTATGTATGAAGAATGCAGACTCAATTTCCTGTTGGCTTTGGCTCAATTTAATTAGGATGATAAATTGGATATTGGAGTTTAAAGCACAACTTGAGGTCCAGTCTCTTGTAAAACATATTATTTTTTTTTTTTTCTTTTCTAACCATCCCCGAGTAATTACTCATTCCACATTCCTGGATTTTAGTTCATTACTCAAACCATAATAATGGAAACTCCTAAGATTCCACCCCTCCTGTACTTTCATCTCTGCCATTCCTAATCCATCTTCACGCCTGTACAAGAGGTCAACAGACCAGAAAACAGAGAGGCAGAGTGCTAAACTGACTGGGCCAAGGTTATGCAGAGAGATTTCAGCAGACGGTTGTTTTACACTCAGGGGCCTAGGTGTGAAGCCCCTGTCTCCTCCGGGAGTTGCGGACACTTACCAAAGCCCACGGGCAGTGCTATCGTCCAGGCGCAGTCCATGTTACTGGGGTAGTTGCCTGGGAAGCCCGGGCTCAGGATCACCCCCTCCATCTCTTCCACTGTTCCCCCACACTGCGCTGTGACAATGACACAAGATAGGGGTTAGGACAACATCAAGGTGGGTACAGGGCCATGCCAACACTTGGAAGCTCCCTTAGAGCAGCAGATTTTAACCTTTCATGACTCATAAATCCCTTTGAAAATCCAAAGGAATCCCCCTAAAAAACCACACACATGGGCAAAATTGAGTATGTAGGTTCAGGAAGGGAAGTACACCCTAGGACTGCCTAGGAGTCTATAAACCCATGTTATGGACTCTTGAGCTTGAGCATGCCCTTCACAGGTCAGTCCCCTTAGTGAGGACATGCAGGAAAAGTGAAAGTGGTCTGCGCCAAGTCTGACCATCCCCCAGGGCTCCCTCTCCTCAATGCCTAACACGCTCTTCCAAGATGGCAGAAAAGGGACAAAAGAAGGGGCCTGGCATGCGTCCCCTCCCTACTCTGGGCCAGGCACCATGCCAGGCTCTTTACAAATACACATTATATGGGGCAGGGGGGCAGGGTGGTCAGCAGGTGAGGCTCACCACCAGCCCCCCTCGGAAAAGTGACTGTGATGAGCATTCCATGGAAATCAACCACGAGAGTGACCTGAGGGCTTGGGGTCATCTGACACGCCAATCAAGGTGATTCAGGGTCATCTGAGGATGCAGGACTGGGACACCGCTGCAGCCTGGTCAGTCAGCATCAATTCTTTGCTTTCACATCTTATTAGGAAGAGGTCGTGTGAGCGGAAAGGGTTAGCCAGCCACGGAGGCCCAGAGAAAGGAGCGGCGAAGAGGGAAGCGCAGGTCCAGGCAAGTGCTTTCCCGGGAGAGGGCGGCTCGGCAAATGGACCAGAAAACAGTGCAGAGCAGGCTCTGGCCTTGACCGCCGGGGTCGCAATCCCACCTTCGCTTCCTATGGGACCCTGGGCAAATTCTAAACCCCTCCAAACCTCAGTTTCCGCCAACTGTAAAATGGAACTAGCCACACCACTTATCTAGCAGGGTCGTTACGAAAGGACCACGCTTCACGCGGGACAGGGCTGGTAGGCGTGGTGAAGCCTCAGTGGACAGCAGCTGCTGTTAATGTGAAGACCTTGGCAAGGTCTCTGCCGTACAATGGGGGGCAGTGCCTTGTGCTGACCCATCACATTTCTGACCTGCTGCGCAGACGACCAGGCCCTCAACCCTGGTGAAATCACAGAAGGAAAATGCCATTGTGCCCAAGTGACATTCCCTGCCTCCCCTCACTCCCTACCCCAAGGTCAGCTTTAGGGTACTTTACTGTCACCTGGGCACCTAGAGAACCTGAGGTTTCTATTCCTGACTCTGCTACTTTGTTTTCAATCCTAAAAAACTTACACTTCTTATTTGCAAATGGAGGGTAATTGATACCTTCCCTGAAGGTATCTGAGGAAACATGGAGCCCCCTGCCTAGCATATAGTAGAAGCTCAACAAACATTCATTTCCGCCTTGTCTACCCTGACCAGAAGCCCCCAAGGAGGGAGACCCTGTCTTTTCTTCTACCTGTTGATCTCCTCATCCATCATTGCTTTAGCACAGGGTAAGAAACAAAACTGAGCTATGTCCTTGTTTCACTTGTAACCCTTGGCATTTCTTTATTAGTGGATTTATCTGTCCGTCCCACAAAAAGTCACAGGGGTAAGCCCAAAGTGCCCAGAAGTTTCATCTGGGGTCTGGAGATAAGCTCATGGGGAATCAGAAAGGCCATCATCATGTTTTCAAATGAGCAAATCTCCTGTAATTTTTCATTTGCTGGGCAGAGATTTCCAAAAGTCATGGCAGCCTTAAATGAGAGTTGGAGATCATAAGAACATCAGTCTAAAACTATTGACTTGGGACAAACCTGGAATAAGAAACATTCTTCTGGTTTGAACTTGAACTCGACGATATGCCCCTGAACTCAAATCCCTGGGAGGAAATGGATTTGCACGAACTGTGAAGTCTGGGCTCTCTTACCAATACAGAGCGGAGGAGGGTAGTTCCAGCGCCGCACGGTTCCGGGCATGCAGGAGATGTGGGCGTGGCCCTGGAGGAATCAGGAAGAGGGAAGGGCTAGGTGCCTCACAGCATGACTGCATGTGCAACCCAGAACAGGGGGCTTGTTCAGGGGCCTCGCATTAAGGAACAAGATACGAAAAGACACACAGATCCACCGTGGGGTGGCGGTAAGGCAGAGGGAGAGAGATGTTGGGGAAGGACAATTACTAACAACCATTACTAAAGAATTCTCATTACTAGAGGTTTCCTTGTGAGGTTCCTTTAATTACTAAATTCTCTGATGGCCTTCAAAGGGAAATTAAATTTTCCCAAGCCGACTCAAACCCAACTTTGCAGGAACACGTTGGAGTCTGGCTTATGCCAAATTGTTCAAGTCAGCAGAGTTTGTCTTTTGCATGAACAGCTCCAGGAGGGAATAATGGTCCCCAAGAGAACTGGCGGCTGCTCCCTGTTCTTTGGTGATTGTACTCGGCTGGTACAAGGCTGGCCAACCACATCCCAGAGGACGCCTGTTTTCTGTCCTGGGTGTAAAGGGAGGTACCTGGAGGGCGTATCCCGGCTCACACTGGAAAGAGACCACGTCGTTCACCAAATAGCGCTCGCCAGTCTTCACCCCGTTACTGGGCACAGCAGGTTCCGGACAACTGCTCAGGCCCACCGCTAGACAAGACAGAGACAGTCGGAAAGGAGAATGGGCCTGCCCAGCAGAGCAACGCCACAGTAGGCTGGGTGATGCTGGCAGCAGGAGGAGAAGGAGTGCCTCCAGTTTGTGCTTTCTCTCGGCCTCTGGGCTGGTGCTTCCCAGCCCTCTTCACCTTGCAGCACATGGAGAAAAACGGAATTTTTGCATGGCACAGAGGCTCAACAGGCCAAAGCTCCTTGGGGCAGGAGGGTGTCATCCCAGGGACTCTGGCTGCCCTGCCCTCCAACTGAGCTCTGAGCTAGGGAGCTCCCCAGCCCTGTAAACCCTCAGACCTCTCTGCATGGGCTCCTGCCTCCTACTCCTGACTTCCCTCTGTCTTCCTTACCCTAAGGAGACAGTTCCTGCAGGCTGAGATGTGGGGAGAGGCAGAAGAAATGTGAGAAAGAAGCAGGGCATCTCAGCAATGCTCGGGGCTAAGCCAGAGTCCCATGCTCTGGGCAGACTGGCCTGGGGCACGTTTGCTAGTGGGTAAGACTTGCCACTGCTTTATTTCTCCAGTTGTGTTTTCAAGGTCAAGCCAGGCCCTTTCTGGGAGTGGCAGTGGTGGCCGCTCACACTTTGCCTGCCGAGGTCAGCTCTGGCCTCACTTAGCACCGGCCCCTGTAACAGGCCCCCTCTCGTCACTACCCATAACCACCACTATTCCAGATTGCCCTGCACTCACAGGCAAATTGGATTCCTTAAAATCTCTCCTTGGATCACAGGACTGCCTTGCTCAGCAGTGTGAAGCAGGTCCCCATGACCTGTTACGTGGAATCCAACCTTCTCATCCTGACATCTAGGTCCTTCACCATCTTGGCCTGGTCCCTTTTCACGATCACCTCTGTGGACTCTCAAGTCCTCCTTCACTCCCCTTTCTTGACCCTTCAAATTCAACCATGTTCATTTATTCCTTATTCTATACCTGGCATGGTACACAGTGCTTTGCTAAAACACCCACCCTGACCTTCCTACTCCTCCCCCTCCCTGCCTGCCCACACCTTCATCATGGGGGCAGCACTCACTGAGCACTTCCCATGAGCAAAGTGGGGGCCAGCGACTCACACACGTTCCCTCATACCCTTCAAGCAGGTCTTGACATCCCATTTTACAGACAGGACACAAGCTGAGAGAGGCCCAGGAACATGCCCCTAGTAAGCCACAGAGCTGGGATTTGGACCAAGCCCAGCCTGACCCCAGGTCTGCCCAAGTGAAGGCCAAACCCTGAGGCCACATAAACTCACTTGCTGCTGCTCTGCTTGCCTTCCCTCCTGAAATCACCCTCCTCTTGCTTTCAATCCCCTCCTGGCTGCCTCCCACACAGCGGGAATGTAGCAGCTCCCCGACTGGGGGCTTCCAGCCTTTCCTGTGCCTCGCAGGAGCCCACCTACATGTGCAGGTGTTTTGGATGCACTAAGTAAATTTCTGCGGGTTGCTGGACTGGGCTTGCGGGGCATCTCTCCAGGGGCAAGGGCTGCAAGACTCAAGGGCAGGCAAAGGGTAGTTGTAAACTGAGTTCTCCACCAACTCCCAAGTGGTCCTCCTTACCACGGGCGGCAGAAAAGAGAGGAGGGTGGACTGTGGGTTTGGGTTTGACCCTGGGCACCAGCATGGCCCAGAGAGCTTGTGAGATGGCAGCCTCAGCCCTCCTGGTGGCTCCCTTGGAGGGTACAGGCTCCCTGAGAAACCCATGTGTATCCAGTGCCTGCAGGGAGCCAGGGGCTCATGGAAAAGGAACAGGGAAGGACTGGTCAGCTGAGGCCCCCAGCCCCCAGCCCACCTTCTTGTGCAGCAGGTGATAGGTCCTCATGCCACACCGAGATGAGACTCTGACAACTACATGTGCTTTTGTTTCTTTTGCTATAAATTTACATATAGCGAAATGCACAAATCACACATGTCCATGTTGTAATCGACATAACTGTGAGTACACATGTGCCAAGATTCGAGCTTGCACCTGTATAACCCACACCCCTACTGACACTGCAGAATATTGTTATCACCCTAGAGATTCCCTCATGCTCTTCCCAGGCAGTTTCTGGCCTACACGTGCTTTTAAGATGTGGATGTGATGTTTGGAAATCAAGGATGTTTGGGCCTATGTCTGAAAATCTCAGCAGCTGAGACAAAAGACCCCAAAGATAAGCATTACAATAATCATCAAAGTACTTTGAAGCACTTAGTCTTGTCATTTTGTCTCTTTCTCCCCTGCACGCCAAGTAGAACCAACTCAGCGTTTAGAGGGGTGGTCTTAGCAACTAGAGACCCACTTACTGGAAAGGCAGAGGACAGAAGAAGGAGCGGCAGAGAGAGAAAGGGGCAGAGCAAGGACAAAAGAGTGTGGTAGGAGGAAAAATGAAATGGAGAGAGAGCTGAGGCCAGAGAGAGAACAAAGGAGAGAGATGGAGAAAAGCCCATTCTAATTTCTCTCACACTGCACAGCTTGATTTTATTTAAGCCATGCTACAACAAAAGAAACAATTTTTTATCATATGTAATTTATTACTTTTGAAAGCATATTGCTCCATTTCCATTTCAATTAAATAAACATTAAATATGAATCACAGCTGTAGATGTGACTTTTCAGTACCCTTCAAAACCATTTGCCTCTATGATAGAGTTAACTCTCTAGCCTCTGTGACCTCTTTGTAGATTATCTTACAGGACAAAATGTAACTACGGGGTCCTGGCTCCCAGGAATTCCAGCCTCCAAATACCAGTGAGGACCTCCGTTTCCCCCCAGCTCTTCCCACCGTCTGTGGACAACACATGAGAAGTGTCAGCTACTGAGAAAACTGCCAGTTCCCTCGGACAAAGAAAACTGAGAAGAGGTGAATTCTTCCTGGGAATGAGGCAGTAGAATGACAAAGTGATTTAGGAAGGAAATGTATCTTTGGAAGAAGAAAGAACAGAGAAGATTCTAAGGAACATTAAAGGACTCAAATTAAAATATTGGATAGAGAAACAAAACTGGCAAAAACAGAGAGGAGAGGGTGAAAGGAAAAATGTGACTTATTCAAGAAATCCAGGGGACTTTACCAGGTGAGTGAAGCTTTAGACATTTGCAGAGAGGAAGTACCAGGGGTCCATGTCCTACCCTCTGCCCCTCAGGGTCTTTGCTTCTGGCTGTCCTAGGTCTTTCTTGCCAGGTGCACATGGCAGTCCTTTCAGGTGATGAGCTTCCTTGGATCCAGCTAATCCTCCCCAAGCACCTAGATAAAGTTCCTTCACTTTGGAGACCCAGATGGTGCTGACCATTCAGGCACCTAGCACCAGCTGGGCCTTCTGTCTGCATGGGCCCATGCAGTCATGGGTGGTCAAGCCAGCCATGCCTTCCTGCATTTCTTACTTCTCATCCCAAACCTAACTCTGGCGTCCCCTTCTGTAAGGCCTTACCTGGCTAGGTTTAGCTCCTTTTCTCTGTACTTCCTGAATGTCTCAGGCTGCACTAAAATGACTGTTTCCATGTCTTTCTCTCCTCCTATACTTTGTGCTTTTGAAGGCAGGGACTTTGTGTCATTTATCTTTGTTCTGTGGGCACCTAACACAGGGCTTGTCACATTGTGGGTGCTCAGTGTTCCTTCATGACTTTTGCATCTCCACCTGCCCCAGGTAGAAGTGACCATTCTCTCCTTTGAACAACTGCTCTACCATCTAGAAACATTCATGCGAGCACCTGCAATGCTATGATGCACTTCTCTGTCTGCGTGTCTGTCTCTCTCTAGTGGACCCTGAGGGGACAGTCCCATCTTGATATCACCTAATCCTGGCAAAACCCAGCATCACACCTGGTGCATTGTAAATGCTCAATAAGTATTTGCTAAATAAATGTGGCACAAATGCTGCTGCCTACCTATTCCTTCCTATACCCAGTGGGGAAATAGGACGGGGCAGGCGGTCCCAGGATGCAAGCAATCTCCCCAGAAGACACATCCACAACTTTTCTGTTCAGAGTATTCAGTGGTGAGCACTTAAGGGTGCTGGAAGCCAGGAAGTAAGGGTTAGAGCTTGTGGGGAGGAATTGGGTAGAAGAGGAGTGAAGTATCCAATGACAGGAGGAACTCCAAAGATAACTGCATCCCAGAACTAGAGGTTAGAGAAGCCAGTTTTTAGGATTAGGGGAGGAAAGCGCCTCCATCTTCTTATATCCTAAACTATATACTGGGGCCTAGGCCAGTGACCAAGTCCCCTTCCCACTCCTGGCGTGGATACCGAGCAAGAACATAGGTTTTTGGGTAACAGACAGTGGGTGAGAAGCCAGCTCTGCTGTGCAGCCTTGAGGAGCTTTCAGACCTTCTCTGTGCTTCAGCATCCTCACCTACATTTGTGGTCAGGCTTAAGTAGCAGGGAGAATACACAGCCCCAATATTAGCTCAGAGTGGGGACTTGGGAACTCTTAGCTCCACTCTGAACTCTGTACACAGCCGGGACCCCAGATTCTCACTTTTGTACTCCAAGTGGAAGCCGGCTGCAGACACGCTGATGTCTGAGTAGAAGTGAAGGTAGAGCTGGTTGGAGGTGCTGTTCAGAAGGGCGGGCACGGTTGTTCCTAGGGCAAGGACACCAGGGTCACTGAGGTTTGGCTCCTCCAGGCCCCCACCCTCCTCCCTGTTCCTCTTGCTTTTGCCATCTGCTGACATTCTGCTCCCAAGGCCCCCAAATGTCCCCAATTATCAAACTCAGCAAGTGACAAATTAACACCCCTCAGAGGGCTAGGTCTCCAATGGCTGAGGGAGGAGAGACCCCAAAGCACTTCCGCAAGATGAGCAGTGGCACAGCTGTGTGCCTGTGGGACAATGAGCTCCTCCTCAGGTGGACTTTGAGTTTGGTCCCCTCCCAGCCACCTTCAGAAAGACTCTGGCATGTATTATTGTCTGGACAATCCAGCAGTGTGGACAGTTTTTCTGGGGCACATGACTCCCCTTTATATCTTGCCAGCCTAGAGTTCTGGGCTAAATAATTCAGATAATTGCCCTGGCCACTGGGCAAAAACATGCGCCATGCTCTATTGGAAGTCTGCCATGGCAATGGAAAATGATGTGCCCACTTTGGGAAACCACTGGGCAGTGTCTTAAAAAATTAAACATGGAATTATCATATGACCCAGGAATTCCATTCCTATGTATATATACCTAAGAGAACGGACAACACATGCTCACACAGAAACTTGTACATGAATGTTCATGGCAACATCAACCACAATAGCACAAAGTGGAAATGACCCATCGACTGATGACTGTATAAACAAAATAATGGCATACCCACATCATGAAGTCCTGACACATACTACAACTTGGTGAACTCTGAAAGCATCATGCTAAGTGAAAGAAGCAAACATTCCATTTATATGAAATGCCTGAAATAGGCAAACCCACAGAGACAGACAGTAGATTAGCTGCTGCCAGAGCCTGGGGCGTGGGGGGCAGGTGGGGCAGAGAGTGAGTGAAAGTGGGTGCCTGGCTTCTTTTTGGGGTGATCAAAACGTTCTGGGATTAGACAGTAGTAAGGGCTGCAGAACCTGGTGAATATACTAAAAACCACTGAAGGGTCCACTTTAAAATGGTGAATTTTATGGTATGTGAATTATATCTCAATGATGATGACGACAATGTCCTACCACGACCCTCCGGATTGGAAGCCACCTTACCTGAGAAGCTCCCCAGCATGGTTACAGTGTTATCTGCACCGTCGAACACTTCCAGGGAGTCCCAGTTCTGCTCCGTGACAAAACTGATGACCTGAATCTGGGAGGCAGCAGGATGGCACTGTTGGACAGGCAGCCTGCGTCCCTTCCTCCCTCCCTCCCACCTACCCCTCCCCTCCCTTCCCACAGTTAATTCAACTTGCTGAGCATCTGCTCTGGGCCTGACCCTGTGCTAGGCCCTTCCAGCAAAGCGATGCAGCCCCTGCTCCAAGGAGCTCATTGTCCGGGCAAGACAGATGTGAAATAAGTGATTATAAGATGGTGGGAAACATTACAAGGTAGAGAATGGGGGAAAGAAATTCCAGGAAGTAGGAATACCTTGGTCCGACTGGCCTTCTTGTCATCTCTGCAACATTCCTTGAGCTTCCCCACTTTCCTGTCCTGACTGCATCAGACACCCTGCAGCAGGGAGCCTGTAACCCTCCCCTGCCCAGGCCTGTCAGCTGGGGTCCCAGCTTGCTGCCTCTCTGCTGGCCTCACAGGCAGCTGACCCTCTTCCCTGCCTCAGCACCAAGGCCGGGCCTCCCTCCACTGGGCTCCTACCATTGGGCACCAGTTATGCCCCAGTTCAGCTTCTATGGCTCGGACTGCAGGTATGGAACCCTGGTTGTGTGCCTGGTGGTGATGCCCCGGCTGTGCTTGGTGGTTCGCTCCTTCCCCTCATCAGCAATGTCCCTACAACCTTAAGAAAAACCGCTCAAGCCACTTGGGACACATGTATGAGTTCTCCCCAATCTTCAGATCCAGGCCATTCCTTCTTTGGCCTTTGCTGCTGGCCCGAGCCAGTGCCACCTCTCCTTCCTGAGTTTCCTGTCTCTCTCCTCGTGCCCCTGAGGCTCCTGGGGCCCGTGAGCTGCTGTGTTTTTCTGTGTGTGGGCCACATCTCCACACTTGGATCGAGCCTCTTTAGCTGCTGGGGCAGAGACAGGGCTGTGTCTCTTGCCAGCTCACCCTGGCTCAGGGCTTGGCAACAGCCAGCACCTGTGGGTGGCCACCCGCCCGACCAGGCCCTTACCTGGATGCCAGCGCCTTCAGGGACCATGATCTTCCACACGCAGTTGAGGCTGTTGAGGTATGGCTCTGGGAAGCCGGGGGACAGGATGGTGCCCCTGCGCTCCGTGAGGTTGCCGCCACACGGCACTGGGAGGAGAGGCAGCTGTGGTCAGAGGCTCCCCAAGCAGACTGCTCCCCCGGGCCCCACCTCTGCTGGTGACCCCTGCCTGTGGGGCTTCTTCCTTCATGCCTCAGTCCTGCCTTCTCATTTTGTTTTTCATCCCCTTCAGAGACCTGGACCCCCGGTTCCTCCCTTCACACGCGGCCCTGCCCCAGAACCCATGGCTGTCTTCACACCAACCCGCAGGACTGGCGGTTTGGCCTGGACGGGCCTCCTGCTTAGGTTATGCTGGTGGGAAGGGGCTGCTGTGTGCCTTCGGGCACCTGCCAGGACTTGCTGCCTCCCCCAGGGAGAAAGGACTATTTTCTGGCCCCCCAGGCCCCCTCCCCAGCCCGGCTGTCCAGGCACTCACCCACACATGTGGGTGCGGAGACGTTCCACTGGGCCAGGGCCCCAGGCACAGGGAGGCACTCGATTTCTGGGGACCCTTGCAGGGCATAGCCGGAGCTGCATTCGAAGCGGACGACGGCCCCCACCGAGAAGTCACTGCCCAGCCTCTTGCCATAGCGGGGTTCCGGCACAGAGCTGCACTGCGTGGCACTGGTTCGTGGCACCGCTGTGGGGGACAAGGGCACTGAGGGGCAGGCCTCATCCCTCTAGAAGCTGGCCCAGGGATGGACACACACAGGACTGAAACAAGGACAGTCTGGATGGGACCCTGAGAGGCTCCCAGGTCAGGGGTGGAGACTGTCTCCAGGGGGGACAAGACCCCCTTTACTGAGACACGCTTGGACACCCAGTGTCACAGAACAGCTGCTGGAGACCACGGGAAGCAGCATGAGCCCCTGGCCCAGACTTTAGGCCCAGTTTTGTTCTTTGCCTTCCCCATGATGCCCCTCACTGATCGGGGTCCCACAGTCCCCGACAAGGAGAACGAACTGCCTGCCCTTCCTCCTCCACTTTCAGTGCCTTCACCCTGCCTCTGGCCTGTCCTCCCCATGCGCCCTAAGATCCTCCCCAGAGCCCTGCCTTTCATGACCTGAATCTTCTCTCCCCCTACCCACAGTGGCAGATGGGACCTTTCAGCCCTGGCTCCAGGGATGGCATCCCTATGGCAGGACCACCCCACATAGGAAATGCAGTCATCCTGGGCAAAGCCAAATGAACAGGACCATGCTTAGATCCTGGGCCCTACAAAAGTGGATGTTCTCCTGGACGAGGGGAGGTTGGGCCTGCCAGTGAAAGCCAGGGTGCTCCAAACTTTGCCTTTCTGGGCCAGTAAGAAAGAGAACTAACATTGATGAGCTGCTTGGTACCAGCTATTTCACGAACTCTCTTTTAATCCTATCAGTGAGGTATATTATTATCCTCATTTAATAGGTGAGCAAACTGGGGCTCAGAGATGTGGAGTACCTGGTGCCCAGCTAGAAAGTGGGGGCTGGGATTCAGATCTATGTCCACCTCAAATCAAAGCCTGTATCAGCCCCACCCCTGTACTGTGCCTTGCAGACAAAACCAAGCCCATAGGCGGGAGTCTAGGGAAGAGCCTGGGCTGGTGTCCCCAGTGCCATCTGGACCACACCAGTCATTGGGGGGGTAGGAGGGGGAGGAAGAAATTAGTTTCCCATGTCTGATTTCCTTCCTCATTCAACATAGAGCCTGGTCTAAGAAATGTCTGTTGAGTTAGCAAATGTATAAAATTCAACAGAATTTCAGGAAATTGCCCCACAATCCAGGAACTGCCCCCAAACACTCTGAGAATAAGGCTCAGACTAGGAGTCAAAGATCCCCATTTCCTCGGTCACCGAGTGCCCTAAGAACGAGATGGCCTTTCCCCCTCTGGCGTCCGTGTCCTGCATACCTTGGTAGACAAAGTGGAAACCTCTGGCTGGGACTTGGCCTTTGGCACTGAACTTGATGAGAACTTGATTGGAGGTGGCCAAAGGCAGCGATTCTCCTGCCGAGATAAGGGGCGAGAAGGAGAGGAAGACTGTGAGTCTAGCAGTCTGGCCCAGAAGACAAAATCCCACCAGGAAAGGGGGCTGCCAATACCCCATGCTGCAATCTCTTCCACATTCTAGGCCTTCCTGAAATAAAAACCTCACATTTTTACTGCACTTTACAGTTTAAAGTTTATAGAAGGCTTTTGCACCCATGGTCTTAGCTTGACCTGTGGTCACTGTGGGGTTGGCATGACAGGGCTCAGCACCCTCATGTAATAAAGCACAAAAGAGAGGTTCAGAAAGATTAAATGGCCTGCTAGAGAGAAGACAGCTGCTAAATATTGGGCCACAGGGATGGGGAGAGTGACTGTTACCAAGCTGACTCGGTGGTTTACTTGGAAGGCTGACATCAATCTGATTTTTTAAAAAAAGGCACTGGCTTCTGGGAAAAAGGGTCAAGTGATCATCTGAGAGCAGCTGGCCTTTCCCAGACCACGCCCCCTCCCATCCCTTGAAATGATCAATAATAGAGCTATTATATAATTCATTGCTCATACTGGGACACTTGAGAGTCAAAAGGAAGTGCTGTTAATAATTACGCTGGCACAACCAAATGGAAGCTGGGACTGTCCAAGGCAAACCAGGATGTCCTGTTACCCAACAAATGCCACATCAACTGGAGGGAACCTGCATGGGCACGGGAAGCTGGGGGAGGCAGACAGCCTTTGTAGCAGAAGATGAAGGCACATCTTCTGCTTGGTGTGGTACAGGTGGCCCAGGGGACAGACAGCCCCAACTGCATCCACAGCTGTGGAGTGTAGTCACCTTCCTGGGGAAGCCCAGGGAGAACACGGTGGAGGCAGTGGCATGGCCAGTCTGCAAGCTGCTTCTCAGGACCCCTGAGAAGGGCTGCAAGCCCACTCTCAGAAAGGAAGTTGGGGTCATGGAGAGCCAGGCTACATCTCCACTGCAGTGAGGGCTGGTGTAGGGACCCACCAAGGAGCCCCTGGGAGGTCTGCCAGTGCTTCCAGAAAGCCCATGTGATGCTACTGACCATAGAAGCAAAGAGCCTTTTCAAAGCACTCTTAAGTTTACATGTTACCCAGAGGGCTGAGCCTGGTGGGAATCACTGCCCCAGCTAACTTCTGGCCGCCAAAGCAAAAGGAAACTCAGGAAGACAAAGCCTCCCTGCATGATCGCTGCCATCGCCAGCGCCTCCTTCCAGTGGATCTGAGCAGAGTGAAGCCTCACTTTTCCATCCGCACGTCATTTAGCCTGAAAGAGGGGGATTGGGACCCCCTGATTTCTCGCAGAACCCATGTTAGCTTTGGTCCTGGCACACGCAGGCCTCCCGCTCCATGGGAAAGCGTGTCGTAAACTCACTGGATATAAGAGAGGATTTCAGTTCTAAGGAAGGAGATTGCTCTGAGAAGTCAAAGCAAATATTTGTATGAGAATTACGACAAAGAACAGGCAAAAGTCTCAGAAGAGTTTCAGTCGTGGTTGTCGCAAGATTAAATCTAGCATTGCATCTGTGAAGTCAGAGGAAGAAGGATCTGGGATTAATAAAAGCTACAAAGAAATGAGAAATGCCAGCACAGGGCTGCTGGATTTCACAGAAATTAAAGAGTGAAATGGAGATGAAATTTGGGAAATTCTCCCAGAATCCACAGGAAAAGGATAAAGCGATTAAAATAATGAGAGAAATGACAAGCAACATGGAAGATAGATGAAAAAAATCCAATATGCATATATCAAGAATTCCAGAGAGAGAGAGAAGACAGAGGCATTGAAATTGGAGAAAAAATAATTTAAAAAAGAAGATACCTTTCCTAAGACTTTGGGACTGAAGTAAAATTTGCCAAGTGCCAGATCTAATTAGTGAAAAGACACTTCCACCACAACACATCCTAGAGGGCTTTTTAATTTTAAAAAGAAAGAAAAATATGAAAATCATATAGACAGAAAAGCATAGGTTACTTACAAGGACAAAGAATCAGGTTGGACCCCAATTTGTCTGTATGATTACATGTTGGACTATAGTGGAACATTTACTGCAGTTTTGAAAGAGAAAGTTTGTGACCTATAATTTGATTTGCAATCAAGTTGTCATTTATATGATGTGTCAAGAGGCAGGCATTCTAGTATATGCAAGGTGACAGAAAGTACTGCAGTTATAAGCCATACTTAAAAAAAAAATAAAACACCAAACCTAAGGTACGGAATTTAAGAACTAGCAGGAATAAATATAACCAGGAAAGTTATAATAACTATTGTTAACGAGGTAACAAAATTAAATGCAAATGTAAAAACTTGTTCTTGGGGAAGAATTCCATAATTTAAAATGAATTACTAATAACATTAATATAAAAGTCCAAATATACCTAAAATATTAGAACTCCGAGATGCGTCAGGTACGAATGGAAATGTGAGGAAGCAAAATCAAAATAACACAAACAAAAACCCAGAAAGAACAAAACAAGATGACAGATATCAGAGCAAATATTTTGCTTGTAAAGTAGATCAGTAAACTTCCAATGAAAAGAAAAAGACTCTTGGAGAAAATGGGAGAAGATCTATCAGGCAAACACAGAGACTAAAATGGTTAGAAAGACAAGACAACAAAATATCACAATTGTAGTGGGAAATATTTTAATGCAACATTCTCAATCTTTGGTATGTCAAATAGGAAAACATAAAGATCGCTGAGTAGTGGTCATTAAGCTTTTTTCCCCCAACACACCTCAGGGACAAGGACACAGTTCATTCTCATTAGTACCCATTGCTCGTGATCAGTGTTTCTCCAGATGAGGAAAGAGACTCACTGTCTGGGTACACTGATACTGGTATCTGTAGCTCTTATACCTCCATCTATCTGTCCACATTTCTTTCTGTTTCTATTGGTCCTGTACACCCATGTCTATACCTAGTCTACATCCACATTTATGTCTCTAGGTCCTAAATGTATACCTGTCTCTTTTCCTGTAGGTCCTTTACCTATTCTTATATGTCTATATCTACAGCTATACTTACATCTATTTACACTTGATCTTAGCCAAAAGGCCGAGAAGCGATACTTTTACATCTATTTTTTTTTTTTTGAGACAGAGTCTCACTCTGTTGCCTGGGCTAGAGTGCCATGATGTCAGCCTAGCTCACAACAAACTTAAACTCCTGGCCTCAAGCGAACCTCCTGCCTCAGCCTCCCAAGTAGCTGGGACTACAGGCACATGCCACCACACTTGGCTAATTTTTCTATTTTTAGTAGAGACGGGGTCTTGGTCTTGGCTCAGATTGGTCTCGAACTCCTGACCTCAAGGGATCCTCCCACCCCGGCATCCCAGAGTGCTAGGATTACAGCTATACTTATATCTATACTTATATCTATATATCTCTATCACCTACCTACCTACCTATCAAGAGATTTCGAAAAAGCATCCTACCCCGGGAGATTCTGATTTATACTCTTGGTTGGGTGTATATGTGTGGCCTGGTGGCATCAAAAAATCATTTCACTGAGAATCACTGATATAATGGATTTGAATAACAAAACTGAGTAAGACTGAGCTAATGCTGTTACAAAACTCACTCCTAACAATAACTCTAGGAGGTAGAACTTTTACTCTTTCCATTTTACAGATGAGGAGACAAGCTCAGAGAGATCAGATATTGTGCCTGAAGTCACCTAGCCAGCAAGTAGGAGAGCTAAGCCTGGAGTCCAGCTAGTGTGACTGCAGAGCCTCAGCTTGCAGTCCTGCCTCTCCACCCTGCAGGGAACACACATTCTTCCCAGATACTTAGGGAATTACAATAAATGTCCTCGGCCACTGAGAGAATCTCATGTAGCCCCCAAAGTATAATAGAAATGGTACAGGTCATATTCTCCAACCACAAGGCAATAAAATGAGAAATTAACGCAAAAGTTTAACACAACAAGAACAAAATATGTGTCCTTGAGGGAAAAGAAGAGACATTCTTAACCAACTCTTGGGCAAAAAGATTAAAACAACATGTATTATCATGGGCTATTTAGAAAGTAATGATGATGAAAATAGTACATATCAAAGTTTATCGCATGAAGCCAAAACTAGGCTTAGAGGTGAATATATTACTGTAAACATGCCTTTATTATATGGAGAAAATAAGGAACATAGCTTTTGAATCAAGAAGTTAGAACAAGAAGAAAAAAATAATCTGAAGAAAAAAAGAAGAAAGGAAATTATGAA